TGAGTATGTTGCAACTTGTGAAGCAACAGAAGAGGAGGTTTAGCTTAGAACGTTCTTAACAGATTTGGAAGTCGTTCCAAACATGAACTTCACCATCACACTTTATTGTGATAACAGTGGTGCTGTGACAAATTCTAAAGAACCTCGAAGCCACAAGAGAGGCAAACACATCGAAAGAAAGTACCACCTCATACGGGAGATAATGCAACGAGGAGATGTGATTGTCACCAAGATCTCTTCTGAGCACAACATTGCTGATCCTTTTACGAAAGCGCTCACGGCTAAAGTGTTTGAGGGCCATCTAGAAAGTCTAGATCTACGAGCATTGTACGATTGGCCTAGGACAACTTGGAGAAATGTAATGGGTATAGTGTATGCCCTAGTTTTTTGTATTTTCCCTTTGCTTTATGATAATGTACACCCCACCCGATTTAGTTCAAGTGGAAGTTTGTTGGGTGTGTTGTCCTAAACTCGTAGTTTGTATTTATGTAAAAACAAATGTATATTCAATAAAGTTTTTTTCAATCAATCTGTTGTTGAATTCATAGCATTGCATTGTCCAAAATCCAATAAACTAAACATCTAAGGTTATTATCATGTAATTAGGACAGTATATATATATTGGGTATATAGATATACTGGGTATATATTTGGTATACCCCTGATATACAAGTGGATAATGTCCCGGGAATAACCTAAAGGGTCTATAGTATATGGATAAGACTGGGTATCTTATCCTGGCAACACTATGGATACAGCCCACTTTGTAAATGTTACAGACGACTCGATCCAGGTCGTTCGTGTGGAGACATGCGAGTGGGTGTATCCTATACAATGAGTTTATATAAGATCGGACCGCGAAATAGCAAATCTTAAGATCTAACACTGTTAACTAACAAATTGCTATTTCTTAGGAAGACAAAACAACTCATTCTCAATCCTAAGTGAGTTATGGACTACTACCCGTGAGGATTCGTTCGTTGATCTGTGTGGGTGAGAGTGGCTCGAGTTGCCGACTCAATATTCCTACCATTTTTGGGACGAGACCAAGTGGGAAGCTGGGAACATAACTTCACAAGATGGAATTCACTCATCCCCGACCTTAGGGTAGTAGATAAATGTTCCCTTAAATGCTGACTCCGGGACTTGAACAAGGGGCCCCATCTTCTCATTAGGCCGAGAGGGACTTCCTGTTATTGGTCGGACCATAATCGGGTTGTTCATTAGATGAGCAGTCATACTTAAGGAGCAAGATGTAACACATGGGTAAAACGGTACTTTGTCCTATTTGCGGTTACAAACACTCGTGAAGAATTGGCTTGCCATTAATGGTCGTATATCCGTGGGCTTGAAAACATTCTGCAGTGATAAGAGTGCAGCTGCGAGTATTGAGTGGAGTGACTCGTAGTTAACGAATGTTAATTAACTCGGTTAGTGAGTTTTACCGATTAATCTCATATCGTTAGAGCTTCTGATCTGTAGGTCCATTAGGTCCCCTTACCAGCTTACAATGGATAAAACGAGGATCAAGTTTCTTTGGAATAATTTGGAATGTTCAAATTACTCAAGGGATTATGTATATTGATACATTATCATATATAGTTTATTTTTAAATTAAAACTACATCTTATGAGATAAATTATTTGAAAGCTTCAAATAATAATATGAATTAGATTCATATTAAAACTATAGGTTAAAATTAATGCACATAAGATGTACATTCAATCTATAGGTTGGGTTATACAAGATAGATGCATTTGAATAAGATTTAAATATATGGGTTTAATTAAATATGTGATATTTAATTAATTTTAAATAATTAATTGTTAATCATTTATTTAATCAATAATAGATTTAATTAATTAATTATTAATTAGATTAATAATTAATAATTAAATTTATTTTATTAATAATTAAATTAATTAATTATTAGTTATTAATTAGATTAATAATTATATTAATTAATTAATTAATTCATTATGTTAATTATTAAGTTTAATTAAAAAAAAAGAAAAAAATTCCCCTGCAAAATTGAAGGGGGATGAGAAGTTGTTGTCAAGTGGGGAGTTACCCCACGTCATTTTTTGTTTAAACTGTATAGAATTATTGTGTACAGTGGTTCTTCTCCTACAGAAACAAGAAAGCTATCTCAAGCAAAATCTCTCATCATTTCTCTCTTCGCTTCCAATCTTTGCTCCCACAAGCAATAACTCTTTCCAAGAGCATAGCTGGGAAGATCATTTGGTGGTGTTCGTTGGATGATTCATTTGAAGAAAAGTTCTTCAAAGGTAAGAAAACACATTTTCCCCTGTATTTCACACTTCGCATTTTGAGTTTTGTTCTTCTAAAATTCATGAACGAAGATCATCGCTTCCGCTGTGGGATTAACATGCCATCATTGTCGAACTCCAGATTGATCAACAACTCTTATTTACGTATTTGTAGCCTCTTTTGAAATCTCGTTTATCACTACCTTACTTCGTGGTTTATGATCTCGAACGTGGTCTTTTTCCAAGAAGGTGGCGTTTGTCAATACAAACACTCTGTTATATTAAGGATTAAAGAAAAGACTGCCTCTCGTCTTTTTAGGGTAACAAACGAATAGGCATACTTTTGAACGAGGTTCCAATTTCTTTGGGTGAGTCACGAGCTTGTGTGTCAGACATCCCCAAATACGGAAGTGGTGTAAACTAGCTTTATAAACCTTCCATAGTTCAAAGGTTGTTTCAGAAACACTCTTCGATGGAACGACGCTCGAAATATAAACTGTAATGTAACACCCCCGAATTTCCGACAACACACTTGTGGTAACTTTAACCAACTACGTGCGCACCCTCTCCATTACATAATAAAAACTAACAAAGTCTATAAGGTTCAAAATTCATCCAATAATCAAAGAAATCGATCCGCCCTCCCTCGGCTAAACAAACATCAAATCATGTTTATTAAATAATCAATATTCTTAGCAAATCTAAATGAACAAAAGAAAACATCGACTCAAGGGCAATAAAATGTTCAGACATATCACACAGCACCGACCAGGCAACACCTAAACATTACTCTACTAGAACATCAAAAAACTAAAAGGAAAGTCAACTATCCGAACAGGAGAAAGAAAAACAAGTATAGCGCAACCTAATGGTCCTTCTTAAGTCGAGCCCTCTCCATATCCCCACCATGGTCATATCTCAGATCCTTACCTGAAAACAATAAATTGCAAGCGGGTGGGGTGGTGAATCGATCTTCGAACTTTGTACCCGGAGCCTCAAAACCCATCCTGGCCAAGTTGGTGTATCGACCCCCGATTTCTGTACACGGAGCCTCGACACCGAACTAGCAATACTGATCCAATAATTTGTTTCTTCATGCCAACAATCGACCTTTGTACTCAAGGCCTCGACCTTCATCTATACTGAGGCTGGTGTATCGATCTCCGATCTTTGTACCCGGAGCCTCGACACCCAATAATACTGTATCAACCATCGACCTTTGTACCCAAGACCCTGACACTCATTTCTTCTTTCATATCATCCAAACTCCACATCCGATCTCGAACTTCAAACCAGGATTCTAATACAAACACAACGTCCTAGTACAACCATCATCCAACATGATTATAATGTGCATAAATCACAGAAAATACATCATTTGTCATCCAGCAACATGCTTACAACATAGAGAAAACACGCATATCAACCGTTGCAAGAAAAACAACAACACTTTGCACAAATTAAACCTCAGCAATCAATTTCAGCATGCTTTTTGTAATGTGACAAAAGTAAGCACAACAATCAAAGCTTTTAAACACACCTTTCCCATTAGATAACTATTCCACACATTCAACAAAAAAATAACACACTAAACAAATCCATCCAACATGTCGAAACAACATAACGCTAGCACAAACGACCATTTCAGATTATGCATTCCATCACCCCTATATAAAATATCCAACAATCATAAATACATGAGATATACATGATAGATAAACAAAATAGCCAAACAAAAAAAAACTTGTCGCTAACAACCCACAAAACGCTACTTATACACTCTTACGCTCCTAGTCCTCGCGTTGTTTGAACACCTATATAATAAAATAAAATAAAAAACAGCAAGTTAACACAACCTTTCAACCATGGAAAATAATTCTAAGGAGATTCAAAAGTTCCGTTACCGTGAAATTGATTTTGTTTCAGTGAGGGTAACTTAGATATCATTCAAATAGGTGAGGGTAGCACAAATTAGGCTTCAAATGGAGTGGGTAATCGTCGAAAACCAAGAGAATTATGTTGTTTGCAGTTTTACATTAGCAGAACGCCCCAAAAAAGTTTCTATAGCCGGTGCCACCGCCACAAGGGTGTCAGTCTCCCAAAGTTAGTTGCTAAGGGTCATTGGTTGTCACCGAAACATCAATAGAGCGCTCGAACACTGTTATCCACCGTTCCCCGCCTCGAGCTGCCATAAAAACGAAACAGAAACGTGTCGTCGCCCTACTACACTGTCGTCCGCCTTGCTATGCCGTTGTCTGTCAGGGGACGTGGGGAGGTGCGTCGCCTGTCACCAGAAAACTGTTGGGGAAGGCGACTATGGCCGCTCGTTATCAAAAAGAGGAAGAAAATAGGGGGGGTAACGTGCGTGCGTGAAGATGGGGGCTCGGTTTTGGTTCTTTTTTCCATTTTTTTTCTTGCTTTCTCTTTTCGTTAGGACTTGAATTTAAAAAAGAAGCACAATTGCCGAACTCTAAAACAATGCCTAATGGTTAAAGAACTAGGAATCCCATATATATATATTTGTCATACTAAGCTTAAGGATCTCCAAATAATCGAAGCAAAATAGAACTCGCTATGATACCTCGACAATCTCAAAATAAAATAAATTATATCTATATAAATTTAAATAAGCTTGGGATAGAACCTCGAGAGTTGAAGTTAAATCTAACTTGAGTATCGCGGGGCATTATATACTTCCCCCCTTAAAAAACCTTAATCCTTGAATGTTCGCTAGGCAAACAACTCGGGGTACTTGGCTTTCACCTCATCTTCCCTTTCCCAAGTAACTTCTTCAACCTGGTGATTTCTCCATAGAACCTTCACTAAATCAATTGCCTGATTCCTCAGCTTCTTGGTTTTCCTTGCCAAAATCTCAACAAGTATTTCTTCATAGTACAAAGCTTTATCCAATTGCAACGGTTTCAGATTCAAAAGGTGGGAAGGGTCATGGACATACTTCTTCAACATGGACACATAAAACACATTATGCACCGCAGCCAACGATGGAGGCAAGGCCAATCTATAAGCTACTGGACCATTGCATTCCAAGACCTCGAAAGGTCCAATATACCTTGGGTTAAGCTTTCCCTTCTTACCAAAACGTATGACTCCTTTCACCGGCGCCACATGGAGAAAAACTTGGTCGCCGATGCCAAACTTTAACTCTTTAATTGTATTATCCGCATAACTGTCGACTTTCAGCAGTTTGCATTCTCGCCTTGATCCTTTGTATGGCATCATTAGTCATCGGTACCAATTCTGGTCCCAATAGTAACCTTTTGCTAACCTCATCCCAATGAACTAGATATCTGAACTTCCTCCCATACAAAGCTTTATACGGTGTCATTCCAATTGATGCCTGAAAACTATTGTTGTAAGCAAACTCCATCAAGTACAGGTGTTTATCCTATCCACCACCGAAGTCCATTATGCAGGCCCTCAACATATCTCTAAAATCTAATTTAGATGCTCAATCGGGCAATCAATTTGAGGATGAAATGCCGTATTAAAGTTGAGCTGAGTTCTAAGTGCCTTGTGCAAACTTCGTCAAAAAAGTTGACGTGAATCTAGGGTCTCGATCTGAGACTATGGATACCAGTATGCTATGAAGTCTAACTATCTCCTGCAAGTAAAGCTCTGCCCACTTCTCCACTAAATAGGTGGCCTTGCCAGATATGAAATGAGCCGACTTTGTCAAGCGATCCACGATCACCCAAATCACTGTGTACCCTTTCACTGTCCTTGGTAACCCTGTGTTGAAATCCATGGCCACATCGTTCCATTTCCAAATAGGTATGCTTAAGGGTTGCAGTAACCCAGCAGGTCTCTGCCTCGAGCCCTTCACTTGCTGACATGTTAGGCACTTACTAATAAACTGGACAATTTCTCGCTTCATGTTGTTCCACCAATAATGCTTCTTGATATCCTTGTACATCCTCTACTAGCAAATCCTGCCTCAAAGGAAAATTTTTCGGCACACACAACCTCTCTTGATAGAGCAAAGCCGCATCGCCTGAATGGGTGTAATCCTCTTGACCCACCAGACTGAAACCTTTAGTTAAGATGGGATCCTTCTTCTTGGCAGTGATGATTCGTTGTATTAAGGTAGGTTCCATCGAAAGCCAAGCTAACATAGCCGCGGCATCTTCCACTACCAATTCCATCTCGGAATAGTACTAGACTACTTTATGCCGCCAAGAATGCTGCACTCGAAGCCTTTCTACTAAGGGCATCGGCCACTACGTTCGTCTTACCCTGATGGTAATTTATCTCACAATCATAGTCATTTACCAGTTTTAGCCACCTCCTTTGCTTTAGATTGAGCTTCTTTTGAGTGAAAAAGTATTTAAAACTTTGATGATCTGTGAAGATCTGAATTCTCTCTCCATAAAGATAATGCCTCCATATCTTAAAGGCAAAGACTACTGTGGCAAGTTCCAAATCATTGGTGGGGTAATTGAGTTCGTGCACCTTTAACTACCGCGAGGCATAGGCAACAACTTCCCATGCTGCATCAAAACGCAACCCAAATCATTGCATGAGGCATCACAGTACACCACTAGACCTTCCGTCTCATCAGGCACGGTTAGCATAAGGGTCGTGACCAGTCGTTCCTTCAACGCTTGGAAACTTCTCTCACACTTGTCGCCCAAAGCGAAAGTGGCATTCTTATGTGTCAACTGAGTCAATGGCGCATCCAAGCAGGAAAAGTCTTAAACGAACCTTCTGTAGTAACCAGCTAGCCCAAGGAAACTACAAACTTCTGTCACTGTACTAGGCCTTGGCCAACTACTAACTGCTTTTACTTTAGCCGGATCCACCACAATGCCCTCCTTGGTGACTATGTGACCAAGGAAGGCCACCTTGTCCAACAAAAACTCGCACTTTCAGAACTTCGCATACAAATTGTTTTATCTCAAAGTGGTTAGAACTTGCACCAAGTGTCCTTCTGAAGGGATGTAAATCCCGGAGCGAAAGCGGACCGTTGTTCGTGATATTTGGGTGACAAAATCAAAATGTGTAAGAAGAAAAAACAGAGGAAAAATTATACCTTTGAAGAACTTTTCTTCAATGAATTTCCCTCGAACACCACCATTGAATCTTCCTTGTTATCCTCTTGGGTTTTGAGATCACACTTGTGGGAGCGTTTCCTTGGAACGAGAGGGAGAGTTTGAGAGAGCTCGATTGAGAGAGAATGAGAGTTCCTCTTTTTTTCCATTCTGTAACTCTTGCAGAACTGAAAAAGGAAGAATACCAGAAAGCAGTGACGTGGGGTCTCCCCACGTCACTTAACTGCCCACTCCCCTGCAATTTTGCAGGGGAGTTAATTAGTAACTTATATATTAATATTATTAATTAATAATAATAATAATTTATATATATATATATAATTAATTAATTAATCATATTAATTAATAAATATAATTAATTATTAATCCAATTAATAATTAATTAATAAATATATATATATATATATCAAATAAATACTTAACCCTTAATTATTTATCACATGAATAGAATCATATTCTAAAACATTTCTCTCGTATAACCTATAGTTCTAATGTACATCTTATGCACATTATTTTTAACCTATTATTTTAATATGAATCTTATTCATATTAATTTTATTTGAATCTCATTCAAATAATTTCTCTCATAATATATAGTTTTAATTTATAATTAACTATATATTATAATGTATCAATATACATATAATCCCTTAAGAAATTTGAACAATTCAAATTCTTCCAAAAACTTGATCCTCGTTTTACCCGTTATGAGCTAGCAAGGGGACCTAATGGACCTACAGATCAGAAGCTCTAACGATGCAAGATTAATCGGTCAAACTCATTGCCAAGTTAATCAAGATTCGTTAACTATGGGTCATTCCACTAAAGACCCGTAGTTGCACTCTTCTCACTACTGAATGTTTTTGTGTCCATGGATATACGACCATTAATGACGAGTCAATCCTTCACGAGTGCTCGTAACTCATGTTGGGTCAAATTACCGTTTGTACCCCTGAGTTACATCTTACTCCTTAAATACCACTGCTCCTTTAATGAACAACCCGGTTATGGTCGGACCAATAACCGACAATCCCTCTCGGGCCAATAAGAGGGTGGGGCCCCTTGTTCAAGTCCCGGAGTCAGCATTTAAGGGAACACTCATCTACTCCCTTAAAGTTGGAGAGGAGTGAATTCCATCTTGTGAAGTTATGTTCCCAGCTCCCCACTCGGTCTCGTCCCCAAAATGGTAGGAATGTTGAGTCGGCAACTTGGGCCACTCTCACCCATACAGATCAAAGGACGAGCCCTCACGGGCAGGAGTCCATAACTCACTCAGGATTGAGAATGAGTTGTCTGGTCATCCTAAGAAACAACAATCTATCAGTTAACGGTGTTACATCTAAAGATTGGCTATTTCATGGTCCGGTCTTATACAAACTCATTGTATAGGATACCCCTACTCGCATGTCTCCACACGAACGACTTGGATCGAGTCGTCTGTAACCTTTACAGAATGGGTCGTATCCATAGTGTTGCCAGGATAAGGTGCCCAGCCTTATCCATATACTGTAGACCCTTTAGGTTATTCACGGGACATTATCGACTTGTATATCAGGGTATATCAAATATATACCTCATGTATCAGAGGTATATCAAATATATACCCAGTATATCAAATATATACCCAGTACATATACTGTCCCGGTTACACTAAAATAACCTTGGATGTTTAGTTTATTGGNATCTAAAGATTGGCTATTTCATGGTCCGGTCTTATACAAACTCATTGTATAGGATACCCCTACTCGCATGTCTCCACACGAACGACTTGGATCGAGTCGTCTGTAACCTTTACAGAATGGGTCGTATCCATAGTGTTGCCAGGATAAGGTGCCCAGCCTTATCCATATACTGTAGACCCTTTAGGTTATTCACGGGACATTATCGACTTGTATATCAGGGTATATCAAATATATACCTCATGTATCAGAGGTATATCAAATATATACCCAGTATATCAAATATATACCCAGTACATATACTGTCCCGGTTACACTAAAATAACCTTGGATGTTTAGTTTATTGGATTTTGGACAATGCAATGCTATGAATTCAACAACAAATTTATTGAATATACATTTGTTTTTACACAAAATACAAACTCCGAGTTTAGGGCAGCACACCAAAAACCTTCGTGTTGATCTGCAGTCTTGGAGTAAATCAAAATGTCGTCAATGAACACAATTACAGACACGTCCAAGAAATTTCTATAGGATCGATTCATAAGGTCCATGAATGTCGTGGAGGCGTTGGTAAGTCCAATAGACATCACAGAAAACCCATAGTGTCCATACCTAGTCTTGAAGGCTGTCTTAGGTATGTCAGCCTCCATGATTCTCAGCTGATGATTTGCTGAACGTAAGTCTATCTTCGAGAACACCTTTTCCCCTTTCAATTGATCGAAAAGGTCCTCGATACGAGGGAGGGGGTACTTGTTCTTTATCGTCGCCTTATTAAGGTCTCGGTAATCGAGGAACTCTGTGACCACGTGGACGGAGTCGACACTGGGAGAAACCTTATTGGTATCGATGACACTCGCCAAATAACCCCAAGCACCACGCTGCAAAAGATGTCTGTGCTTTAATGCTGAAACTACCCTTGGAACCCCGCCCTTAACACCTGCAAAACTTCGGCCGGAGGGTAGTTGGAAGGAGACTTCCTTCTTCAAGCAATTGATGCTGGCTTGATTAGCAGCTAGCCAACCATGCCCAATATAACATCAAAATCCCCCATGTCGATTTGGATTAATCTAGCCTCCAAGGTCTGATCGTCAAAAGATAACTTCCCAGCTTTCACCGCTTGATTAGAAACCATAACTGAATCCGACGGTGTAGACATCGATAGTTGGAAACCTAATGTTTTTAGCTTTAGATTCGCCTGTCGAATAAACGCATTGGAAATAAAGGTGTGACTTAAACCCAAATTAAACAATGCATAAGCAGGTACACTAAAAACTAGGACAATACCTGAAAAGACGATACAAGAATAAAGACATAAATCCAGAATGCATAACTCAATAACTCAATACTTGGTAGAAATACCTGTTACAATAGTCTCAGCATTTTCAACTTCTGCATTGGTAAGTGTAAAAGCTCGAGCCCTCGATTAGCTCGTCATAGGGCAATCCATCGTTATATGTCCTTCTTTGTCACACTTGTAGCAGACTCT